ATTATTTACCCTTTTATCCACAAAAATATAAATGTGCATGCTCACCTCTTAGTAAATATCTTGAACAGATATGAGAGTAAAAAAAAAATAGTAACAGCTGTTGGAATTTTAAGAGTTGTTTGGGTTTAATTGTGACAGGACAATTCCACAGCACACAAAGATTTCCAGGAACTAAAAGTAAATCTGAAAGCCAATAGAAAAAAGCCAATATATGTTTTCCATCTGCTCTATTTTTAATCTATTACTTTAAATTCCTATCCAAGACCTTTAAGAATGCCCAGGGAAAAAAAATAGTTTTCCAATGTAGTCATTAGGGTTTCAAATCACTGGAAAGCACACGGCTTCCCTGCTATGCTGCATAGACAAAAAAGGCTTTTTTTGGGCCACTGTGCCTTTTTACTGCATTTATTTCTAGGAGAAGGGTAACTTCTTCCTACATAAACTTTTAACAAGGAAAGAAGTAGAAAGTACATAGAAGTAAAGGTAAAGCCTACAAATCTTTGTGCTCTTGCCAGAGGTGCAGGGACTGGGACTCCTTTAGCAGTGTGAGTAACAACACCAAGCCTGCACTTCACGTTTTAATATTGAACTTTATTGTCAATAAATGTTTCTATACATAAATCACACACAAGCCCTCATTTCTTGTATCCATGAAAATGACAAGTTACACTTAATGATCATTACAGACACATCTTAAAGCCAGTGCAGTATAGAACAGTACAATCATAATACCTGTTTGTAAGATTAAATATATATACATTTTAAAAAGCCAAAACAATGGAAGTAGAATACATTAGTGATTAAATATAAGATTATATAGTCTATAGCAGCTTTTAAAAAAATATTCAACTACTCTATCTAGCAGCAACATTGTCTAATGACTGTTAGACAGTTTGTATTTTCAATCAGTAGGTGTTTTGTTCCCATTGTTCTTACAGACTGTAGCTGTCTCTAATCATCCTGTCAGCAGGAACAAACAAGTTCCTACTTAGTGATATTTATAAAATAACAATACTGCAACTTCAACAAAAAAAACCAACTTTGTGTTAATTTTCTCCTTCTTATTAAAGAGTACAACACAGGCTGACTACTTCACTAATGGATTTTTCCTCCAATACAGACTATAAACGCATGGAAATTTCCAGGAGGTCTGTCTAATCCAGGAGAAGACATTGGTAAGTCCTATGAGAACAGGTCAGCCTTCAACAGAAATACAAAGACACGAACACCACTGAAATACAGCATGACCCACATTGCTCCTGTGATGGATCGTTTCCTTGAATTAATGGGGAATAGATGGAGTGACACAATCCTGGGACCCTAATGGTAACAGGGTAGCATGTTCAGGACAAAGAAGTTTTGTGTTTGTAACATTTACTCTTTTCCACACTTTCTTTAAGTGAGTGCTTGAGACCAGCTAAGTTTTTTTAGGCTGGTCAGATATGCTGCAATATGAGCCAGAGGTGCAGAGGATTAAGGTAATCCATATATAGCCCAAATAAAACTGAAACAGGGAGCTCTCAGCTCACACTGCAATTCAGGGCAGTGACTTCAGGGATGGACTGAGCAAAAATTTCCATTCCAATAAATGCACTTGCTTCCTTCCACCCCCTTCACTTGATTAGTTTGGACCAAGAGCTCCTCGGCACAGGGCCAGGGTGAAGTGCAGGGCCTCAGTCTTGTGGGCACCTACTCCCAACAGGGACATGAAGCACTCCTGTGCTAGGAAACAATGCTGGATTGAGGAAACTTCTCATTTCTCTCCAACACAGCACAGCTGATGAACACTGCTGCAGTTTATCCTCACAGGTGAATGAACAGGGGTGTTTATGAAGAGAAAATCTGGGTTTTTTCTCCTTGTATCTCAACCCTTAAAATCATTATCCATAGGCTGGTTACTTCTTAAGCTGGGTGTCAAGCCCAGGGTTCCTGACTGTTCCGTACCTTAAAAATACCTCCTGGTTTAGCAGTCTCCCTACAACAATGTGTGGTGGGGTTGTATTCCAATTATTATTTCAATACACGGAGAAAGTTGCTAGTTGTCAGGATATGGCTGAGTTTGGTTTTTGTTACTCATGAGTCATGTTTTAAGTCTTTCTGTCAAACCTGGTGATGGAAATCCAAAATATTTGCTGGACAGTGTAATGTAACAGGGTGAAATGGATCCATGTTTTCAAAAGAATCCCAAATGCCATGGCTTTATCTAGGCAGGCTCCTTCTCACTTCTAGTGCCAGCAGCAGCAGGACTTTTGTACTCAAGGAAACAACAAATGACCAGTAGTGGCATTCCAGTGGGACTCCCCAGAGTGATACTGCTGCTGAGTACAACAGCAGCCATCCCTCACTGAACAGGTGAGATTATGGCTGGAGCCTGCACTGAAAACCACCCAAGACAAAAGTGTCCTACAGCTTCCCTCCTGCCACTTCTAAACTACGGAATAATAAAAGTTACGATTCTCTGCATCACATATTATATTACAAAAAGATATAAATTAGTCAAGCATAAAATATAATAGAGCCTAATTTTCCTTTTTCATTCTTACATCAAACCTTAAAACACAAGTCACTCATGGGACTAAATTTTAAATTATAATTAAAAATTGCAATTACATTGCTTAAAATCCTTCAGTTACATGAAGTGACAATATGCTTGGCTGCCTACTAAAATGAGTGCAAACTGACTTATGCAAGTGACACCAATTTCATAATGCAGATTAAGCAAAGTGCACACATTTTTGTATCTGAACATTTCTGAAACTCCAGCCCTAGTGTTTCTTCTAGTTTAATTGTCATTAGATATTTATATATATATACACACTCACATTTAAATAAAAGGGAAACAGAAAATGGTACTTCATCTGAAAGCAAAGCTCAACACTTAAATGAAATCCATCATTACTGCAAGTTTCTTAACCACAGCCTGCCTCAGTTCCTCATGATCTCAGTTCATTTCTGTAGCCCCCTGCCCACTAACAAAGCCACCTGCCACAGGGAGTTTCTATTTCCAATATCTGAAACTACCCCTGAATCATCTGCTTTGTTCCCCTTGGACTTGGCAAGATGCAAGCCTCCACAGGATGGTGAATCTCTACAAGTCTTTTAAAATGAATTTGCTTTTGGAAGCAAGCTAGCACACATTCCTTACTGAAAAGGAACTAACAGGAGCAGGTAACATTGCACAACAGTTCTGGACATTGACCACTCAAACCAGAGACAACCAGGAGGTTACATTAATTTGGGAAAAGCCAGTATTTAACCTACCAGTACTTACCCCAGGCAAGTAGGATTTGACTACAATGAAACTGCAGACTTCGAGGAAATCAGCGGAATATTAACAAACTTCTTAGGGACTCTTCAATTCGTTATTGAAGAGAAAAATATCTCTGGAGGAGTCCTGGATGGGTGGGTGGTTCTCTGGCTGTAATTGCAGCACACAGACCCTGTAGACCCTTAAGGTTCCTGCTGTGTTTGTGGTGAGGAATGTTAGCACTGACCTCACTCTGGCTGGGGCACACAGAATGCACACATGCAGCACAGATGCAGCATGTTTACAGCTTGTTTCCTGCAAGAACAGGCTCTGGGCTGCACTGGTGCTGTGGCATATTTGAAATGTCACCTGACTCTTATGGTACATCTTGAAAAGGATCTGGCACCAACTTTCACTTTCTGAAAAGAATTCTACCCATTTTGGTACCCCTTGGGGTGAAGTGCAGTGAAACTGATCTGATCAAGAGGTCTGGCATCAGTACAGGTGCAGCTGCACAGGATCTGAACCCGAGACTGGGCAGGGGCAAAGAGAGGGATGGGGATCCAAAGGACTGCAAAGTGCAGTGCTGTCTTGGATTAACAGATCAGTGGAGCCAGCAGCCATCAGTGTCCCATTACAAACCACACCCTGCACAGCATTACCAAAGCAATTCTGTCAGACATACACAGGAAAGGCACACAGCAATTACTGTTGTTTGGGAATCAAAATATTAGCTTATCCTTGTGTTGGAAAAACATACCTACATTCTGAAAACCTTTTGAAGCAGAATAGAGAACATGCTGAGTAAGAGGCTTTCCACATTTCCAAAAGGTTTAAGGATGCTGAGTACTCTCAGATGTTCTGCAAGGATTGCTCTTTCCACCCAGGAGACACAGCAGTTCGAGAGGTTTTTGAAGAGACTGGCATCAAGTCAGAGTTCAAGTCCATCCTGAGCATCAGGCAGCAGCACAAGCACCCCGGAGCCTTCGGGCAGTCGGACATGTACATCATCTGCCGCATGGAGCCCACCTCCTTCCGCATCAGCTTCTGCCAGCACGAGTGCCTCCGCTGCGAGTGGATGGACCTGGAGCAGCTGGCCAGGACGGAAAACACCACACCCATCACCAGCAACGTGGCCAAGCTCTTACTGTTCGGGTACCGGGAAGGGTTTGATAGGATTGACATAACCATGAGGGAGTTCCCAGCTGTCTACACAGGCCTGTTCTACAAGCTCTACCACAGGGAGCTGCCCGAGCCCTACAGAAACATGACGTGATAGCAATACATTTCACATTTCCCTATAGTAATAATTTAGAATTATTGCAGTGTTGAATATTATAGTTATCTGTGGACTTATTTTTAGGTAATTATTAGAACATAATTATTCTCTAATAAGCTAAGATATAAATTATTTTTAAAGGTAATTATTGCTATGAGTGTGCATCGGGTTTGTTCTCCTCTACTCCATAAAGCAAGCATAAGGTAAATAAAATACATAGGTACCTAGAAGAAAACAAAAGTGTTACTGATCCTGAAAATATATTCTGCGAGTCATTTTACCTCCACGCACACTGGCACAACAGGTTTAAAGAGCAATATAAAGACAGTATGAAACATTCATGGTTTAATCTGGTATCTGCAAAAGTAGTTATAATATCAGCAAATAATTGCTTATATTTGGCTACTTCAGAAAGGAGCAGGAAAGGCGACATCTTTAGTGCTGTCTGGCACTGGTGCTCAGAATCTGCCGTGGAAGTCAGCTTTTAGCAGACATGGGAAGGAAAAGGATAGCTTTCTGTCCAGGTCCAGTTTTTGGTCCAGGTTTGTACTGTCCAGTTCTTTTCAGTGCCACGTACCAATCCGAGTATTTCCGTGAGCGGTAAGTGTTGTAGTTATTGGATTCCAAACGTTCAAAAAAGAAACATTCTTCTGTTGCGTATTTCTAAAAGGGAAAAGAGAAAGCATTACTGGTGTAGCACCACAAATCAATTCTTCACATTCTGGGGACTAACTTAGCAAGAATGTGAGCAGTACCTTTGGTTTTAAGAAATAGAGATTAACTGTTTCACAACTGAAGAAAGATATTTACTGTGAAAATATTGTTAAAAACTTACAATATGAGGTTTTTACCTATGGTTCATTTATTGTCTCTAACACAGATTAAGCAGCTTTTTACTTCCTTTTAATTACTGTGTAATTCTTTGTTCTGATCAGAAAACATATAAAAGAAGCCTTTAAGAACAAAAATTTTAAGCAGAATACAGACAATTCAGTACAATTGCCCAAGCTGGAAATTCAGGCAGAGGCACATCAAAAAAGGGTGAAAAAAGAAAAGTTCTTATTTCTCCCCAAAGCATATGTGACACCAGTGCTTTCCTACAGTCCATTGTCAATGTAAACATTTTGATATAAACCCCATCATTAAGGCATTAAGGTGACAAATGACACAGCTCAGGCTTCATGAACTGTGTATTCCTGAACATCCCCCAGAGGTGACATTTCAGGAGCTGTACTGCTGTCTAGCAAAAGCAGGATGTCAGCCACTGCACCTGGAAATCTCAACACCTGGAAAAATCTCAACACCTGGAAATCTCAACACCTGGAAAAACTCTGGATATCTGTGTTTTTTTCCTTTCAAATACGCTTCAGTCCAGGCTGCATCCAGAGTGCAGATCTGACAGTAGAAGCTTTCTCAGCACCTCATGAAACACCGGAACTCTCCTCAAACTAAATGCAGGTTATTTTCACATTGTTTGTGCACAATTTGAATCCATCAAAAGACAAGAATTTCTCTTAGATCAAGTCCTTCAAGTCTGGCAAAACCTGGCTGATCACAGCAAAGCCATGTAAGCATGACAGAATGAACAGGTCATATCCTTAAATAACAAATTATTTATCATCAAATACAAGTCAGTCAAAATTCCTGCTTTTGTGGGAAGTTTGGGAAATTTCTTCATTAAATTAAATAATCACATTTCACTCCATAAAGTGAAATTATAATTAAACTGGAAAGTCAAAATAAGCTATATCAGATGGGAAATGTTTTTTTCATTTTTTCATCAAAACTCTGCTGGATCAGATGCATTTCTGCACAAATATTTTCAGTTAAAAGAGCATTTCCCAAGGGGAGGTTTTGACTATCTGCATTCACATCCAGCCATTTCCTCCAGCGGCAGAGATGCCCCATGACTGACTCTGTTAGTAAGGAACATGAAAATGCTCCATTAAAAGCTGCATCATCCAGATTTCCACACAAGAACACTGCACCCCCACACAGGTCACCGGGGTGAGCAGCGGTCCACGGGCTGTGCAATAAATGATCCTGCAAAGCCCAGCTCACAACAAACCCTGCAGCATGTCTCAACAGGTAATTACAAAAACATCCAACAAGATGAAAAACAGGCCTGAATAAGAATTTGCAAACATATTTCCAAAAATGTTAATTTATTTGCAAAACAAGGACTCTGCGCAAATTGATCCTGGACACTGAAAAGTAATTAAAAAACCTCAGACATTAAAAAGGACAGAATAGTACTTGAGTGACTAATTAGAGGACTAAATTATATGTTTAGAAATTAAAGTTCCATAATGTTTTGAAAGAAATTTCAGCAGTGTTTCACCATGTGCAATTCACCACAGACATTTCCAGCATACACTCTGCAAGCTCTCGTGAAACACAGCCCTGCTCTAATGAACAAGAACGCTGGCAATTGGAAACAGTTTCATGAATGTGTTTAGAGGCAGAAAATGGTAAAGGCACAGCCAGCCACAGACTGTTGGAAGTCACAGTGCAGGAATCCTCACGGAAAAACACTGCCAGTGCTAAATTGCAGCAGCGTTTGTTAGGCTGGTTGCAGAAGAAAAGTCTTAAAAGAGTAGAGTTTCCACCTTTGAGTAACAACAATGTTGCATGCAGCAAACATGATTCAAGTAATACCCATTTCCAGAAACAATACCAAAGAAAAAAAGTTTTACAAGCTCAAGTGAGAAGCACAAAGTGACCCAACTTTACATACTCTGAGAGAGTAATTCCGAGTGACTGGGCGATACTTCACAAGCGTTTCGCCTTACAGGAACTGAGCAAACAAAAACCGCTGCAAGGGAAACTTATTCTACAAGCAAACCCAGAATGCAACAGCAGGGCAGAAACCCCAAATATAAACACACCCCTGTATTTATGTTTATCATTTCACAAATGGTGCTAAACACCCTATTTTGACCATTCACTCAGGGTACGGAGTGCTATTAGAATGGGAAGCCGAATGCCACCGCACCAGCACCACAGGAAATTCCCAATTATCCTTAACTCAAGAATAGCACAGGACAACTCCTCACATTTTCTTCAACTGAGCTGTCACACAATATCCGAGTAACTTGAAGCAGGTTCTTTAACTGCATTCCCGAGCCCACACAAAACTCCCTGGAGCCAGAACTGAGGAGCGCCCTGGGGAGCCCTGCTCCTGTAAAACTACTTTCAGTCTCATTTCATGGAGGCAGAGGGGAATCAGAAATAATTTCTGCATCCCCTGGCACGGGTCTTTCATTAGCTGCAGTTCAGCCAGGGTTAGGAATGCACATTGTTAGCCCCAGCCACGGAGCGGACTTGCACAGAGGCTGAATGGGGCTGTGTGAATAAACAAAGCACCAGCAGCTATTGCAAACCAAAATTCTGGCAGGCTGGATGCCCTGGTGCTTCACCAGGCACTGAAGGATATAAATGTGGATGAGGATTTACAGTATCTAGGTCTCATAAGCAAAATTAATGTAACTTCAGCTCTTAAAGCAAAATTTATCATTTGGCTCAGAGAGACATTAACCGTCTGAGTCTGCTGCATACACTGGCTTTAAAACACAGTTAAAAATGCAACTGATACCAATAAAATACACAAGAGTTTAAACTAAACTAGTCTCACCAGAGAGCAGCTTAATTTATCCACACTTATATAACTTTTAAAATTTTATCATCACATTTTCAAAAATATTTTTCTTGCCAGTTTTCCAGTTGGGAAGTACAAGTGCCCAAAAAAAACGTGATTCTCTACAAAGAGGAAAATGAGAAAATAATTTATACAGATTAGTACCATGAAAGTAATTTTCTAAAAGAAATTGGTTTTACTTTCCCCTTCAAAGAGGTCTTTTAAAATCACTTCATGTGCAAGTAAGTGAAAGGGGAAAAAATTACTCCTGAGGGTAAAAAGGCAGACACTTTACCCTTCATTTGTTTTTATAATTTCCTGATCACTGTGATTTTTTTCCCTCTCAGACAAGCCGTTCCTGTTAAATTTTGCAGTTCCTAGGAGTAGGGCAGAAATACCCAACTCCTCCTAATTCCTATTTCAAGTAACTGACAGGAGCTGTGCAGAGCTCATTTCTCCTGATAAATCCCACAGCGAGCAGCCGAGTAAGTCCTGCAGGAAGAAAGGCCACCCCACACAGAGCAAGGGCAGGACACAGCAACACAGAGACATCAGGCAAGTGCTGCTTACCAAGGCCAGCAATCTGCCATCCTCCTTCATGGCCAGGAAGCGATTGGCACTGACCCCTTTGATGGACACCACTCCTCGCTCCTCCGCCTGGAGCTGCAGCTTGACTGCAAACAAAACAAAAAAACAAAAGGTTTCACCTCTGTTCACCTTTTTGAGCCATCGTGGCATTGCAGCAGGCAGTGCTTCAAACCCTCCACCACAATAAGCTTCAGCTTGCAATGAAAATAATAAATTTTTAACATTTGGCTTTCTGATCCCGCTTTTAGAAAGTAAGTAGCTACTTTTGAATTTGCAACAGCGAAATTGAGTTATTCCATCTTCATTTCCCATAAAGGCAGCTTAAAATCCATGAAATACCTTGAAAGGCCACTTAGGGCACAGTCAGCTGCTCCCAGAAAATGGAAATTTTTCATGGCAATTTTTCCAGAGGTATGTCTCAATGTTTGCAGAACAGCATTGGACACTGAATGCACACAGCTCTGTACAGGCAGACTGTCAGCGAGCCTAACTGAGACTGTCCAGGTCCATATCACTCCCTAAGGGTTCTGGCAGTTCCCAGCAGAAAATATCCATTAGTTTACCTCATCTATCCAACAAGTGGGTGGAACAAACAAACAGAACTGCAGCAGTAGGTGAAGACAGCAAAGGCACAAGAAACAGTGCTATACAAAGCAGGAACGTGTCTTGCATCAATTAAAAGAAATTAAAGATGTTATAGAAATGAAAACCTGTAAGGTCCTATCACACAGCTTTGAGCTACTACCTGTGAATTAATAACACAACACCTTAACTGATTTCTGTAGCCATAAATCAAACCCAGTAGTTTGGATGAAAGCTTCCCCTTTTGCCTGTCTTTGCCTGTTGTATACAATGTCTCAGATGAGAGCTTCCTTCACCCACCTGCTTTGGTTCAGCAGGTCCTTTATTCCATCTGGAGATGCAGTTCTAAATAGCTTGAGCTTTTCAGCCAGCAGAATAAATGCCTGAAGTGACTGTAAATTTTGGAGATCTCTTGAGATTCAGAGAGAGGTTGTTGCTTATTTGGCTTTTTATTGAAGGGAAAAAAAGACAGCACTGAAGAAACCAACTGAAACTCCAACACCAGGAATACAGGGAACATAAAGCTGTTGGGATTATTGCTGCAAACCCTTTTTCACGGTAAAAGTTAGAAGTCAGGCACAATTTTATCTCAGTATCAAGTATCCAAAATATAGTGCTCCTAAGTGATGAGGCCAAAATCAGACTTGTGAACAGCTCCAAACACTTTGGTGTAACTCCTTAGCCTCTGGGGAAGCAAGAACGTGGAAAAGTGCTCTGGGCAGGGACTGTGGGAAATGGACTTTTGAGATGTGCCAAGCACACAGCTTTCACCACACACTTAACAAGAAACAGCTGTGGAACAGTTGAAAATTAATATTAATTACTACAGTACTGACTTATTATGCTTTATGACTTTCTCTGACTTATTATGCTCTATGACTTTATGACAAAAACGCACATGAAATCCTACAGCATCACACCAGGCCAGAAGTTCAAATTCTGTAAAAATGAGCTTCTGGTAAAGGTTTCTAAGTCCTGTAAAAATTTGTATAGCTTGTGAAAAAAAAAACCCAAACACCCAAGGTATTCCTGCAGAGTTTGAAAAGAGCTGCAATACTGAAAGCTCCAAAAGGAAAATCAGCTTCACTGGGTTTTCCTCTCTAACCCAAAAACATGTGAACAAACAGAGCCAGAACAGTACTGTGAGTTTTTCAGGTTTCAGTGTTATTTTACAGCTTTATTAATGCAGTGAGTATTTACCACAGGGTTACACTGGAGATATCAGGATACAACACAGCCTTACTGATCAAACACATTTTGACTATATGATCATCAGCAGAAGTGACAATTTTAGGTTTAGATTACTGCAACTAAATTGCTTGTAAGAGAAATGTATCACTTGACACCGATGATCTGCATTTTTTACAGTCTTTGGTCACCACCAGCAACAGTGCAGACTCCATTCATCATTTCACATCTACTTGTTTTCAGCACAACTGAACCTCAAGACCCCATCCATGGAAGTCAAATAATTAAGACGTTTGTAGCCCAAAAAAAACCAGCAGATTGTTGTGAAAGAGCTCATTAACCAAGGGCTAAAAAGGCCTGTTTTCCCAGCTATTCTGGCCCCTCTAGCACGGCAGTGAGTTATTTCCCTGTTCCCATTCATGCCCTGCAATCCACAAGGAACACCAAGCACAAGGCTCTGCTCGGTGCCTGCTGGTGTTGTGAGAACACAGAGCTCACCCGCTGAGCAAACATCCCCAGGACTGGGGCTAAGTCATCATTAAGTTATTAAATTAAACAATAAAAGCAACTCAGAGGACCCAGGAAATTTACAGCTCCTATTAAAGACTTTCTTTTCTATCATAACAAGCTTAATAGAATCATTCTGCTGAATAAGAAGGAATGAATTGCAGGATGTGCATTTGCACTTTTCACACCAGCGAAGAAATTCTGAGTGATGTGGCTCAAGTGAACCTACAGTGCCTTCCAGTCATATAAAAATGGATAGAGAAGGAATGTTTTTTCCCAACAATATACAGAGGTCTGTTAGAGATTCATATTCACTGATGCTCTGGCTGAAAAACACCACAAGCTATACAGTCCAACCCACAGAAACCAGTACAATCTGTGGCACTAAAGGAAGCTGGAGCACACTGCAACAGGCACTGAGATGTTCCTTCAGAGGGTATGTACAGGACAGATGCACAAACTGCAGGTTAAACTAAAGAGTGTATTTCAGAGAGTTACAAATGGGCATTTATTCCACAACTTGGAGAGACCTTTCTAAGAGTATGGAAGTTGAAAAGTGGTATTTAATAGCATTGTGGTTGGCAAAGTTTCAGATTTCTCTTTAAAAATGGATCTTCCTTGTTTTCTTAGATACCTCCAAAAAAAAACCAAAATTCCAAGGCACTTTTGCACAGTCCAGTGGAGAAAATAATTTTGAGGACAAGTAGCTAGACAGGAAAGCTATTAGCAAATGCAAAACAATAAAGAAAACAGGAACATTTTCCAAAAGTACTTTTATTGTCCTGAGCACTAGAACTGGAAAATCACACGTACAATGCAAACTCTCAGGTCCTTTTACAGTTCTAATAAAGCAAAGCTTTAGAGTGGCCCAGACCCAGGAACTGCACAGCTGAAATGGTCCCAAAAGGTTTCCATGCTATGCATCATAAATGGTTCTGCCAAAATCTCCTTCAAAATGGGTTCATTTCAAAGACCTGGGCAAAACCTACCAGCTTAATACTTCAGGAAAACAGAGCTGCACATTCTGGAAGTTGCTCACTGCTGAGCTGGTGCTACCTTTTGACTCCCAGTGGGAATCTGCTGGCAAGCCCTTCTCCCGGGGCAATCCCTGTGACCAAAGCCACGTGCTGGTATTTCACTCACAGCAGCTGCACTGGCTAACATGTTCTGGGGCAGGAGAATGCCACAGGATTAGTAAGGAAAGGGAAAATAAAGGTCACAGGGAGGAGAGAAAGGGACCAGAAGCATGTCTGGAATAAAATAAAAGGCAAAAAGAGCAAAGAGCAGTGAAGACATGGCAGGGTAAGGGCACTACAGGAGGGTGCTGTACTGGAGCATGAGGCAAACTCACACATCTGAAGGAGGTGAAATTTGAGGATGTATTAGCCAAAGCGATGAATAAAACCCCCATTTTCCTACTCCACAAAGAAATGGGAACTCTAACCACTATATCAGAAAAACCATGAAGTAAAAAACAACTGTGAGCTTCTGGCTTTGGATGCATTTACACAGCAAATAAAGGTTCAATTACAGCTTCAACTGTATTTTCACTGTAACCCTTCTAGCTAACACCCTACAGACAGCCTTCAGTGCAATCTAGAGCTACAAGTACCATCCCCAGTGTCAGGATCATACAAAACTCAGGTCAGAAGGACTCCCTCTAGTCCAGCCTCCTGCTGAAGAGACTCCATCATTTCACAGTGAGAACCCTGCCTGCCACACTGCAGCAAAGGGAGCAGCTCACAGCCTGGGAAGAGAGGAAAAATTGGATACTATTTCAACCCCCGTTTTCACTAACATACAGCTGCTTTATTGGAACAAAAAGCAAAACAGCTCTCACTCAGTTTACGAGAAGGGAGAGTTTCTGTACCCCCAAAGTCCCAGGCTGCACGTCCCTGGATCAATGACTAGCGTTACTACAGTCTGCTGTGGAAAAGCTCAGCCCCAGCCAAAGGCTCAGGGCCCATCTCCAACATATTTGCAGAGGCCCTGTAAGGAAAATCCTTCCACGAGGCCCCCGAGTGACAGCGCAATGAAGCTGCTGTGCCAGCTCCCACTGCCCATCCTCCCGCACCTCCGTGCCCACAGGAAAGCACAAAGCAGCTATTCTGCAGCCTCACTGCAGAGGTGGCTCAGCTCCAGAGGGAATAAGCATCAGAAATGCAAGGAAGTTCACAAAAAAAGGGAGGAAAGTAAGTTTCGCTAAATGCAACACCCTGCAGCCGAATTCTCACTCCTCCATCCTCTGTGGCTGAAGTTGGCCATTCCTTCACGCTCAGGGGCAACATCTATTCCCAGCCAGGTGTCCAAGCAAAACACAAGGAGTCAGACATGCTTGCTCCACACCTAACACGACAAACCCTCCCAAACCCAGGGGCTGGTTCAAAGCTACACATGCATTTACAAACACACATATATTAACGCTCCCTTCTGGCTTTTCCTGTCTGCTGGATCAGATCCAAACCCCAGCCTGGTGATGCCTACTGTAACTTTCTCTAAGAATTACAAATATCTTTGTGTCCCTCTGCTCACATCAGTCTCTGACAGTTTCTGATATCTCTTTCTCAAAGGCACAATTAGCAGCTTAACATCTCCTGCTATTTGATAAGCGCTGACATACGAGGCATCCTCAAGTCTTCAGAGTGTGAACAAGAGAACAACTCCTTGCTCGCTTTCATACGCTCATGGTAAAAGTGAGCCACTGCCAGAGTCACTGATGCAGACACTGCCTAAAACCTGGAACACATATGAGGCACCAAAAGGAGAAATAGAGAGGAGAAACAACCAGCAAACCTTAGCAGGAGAGGTG